GGCAAAGAACCCACAGAAGCAAGAGACCGAATAACAGGATCTTGTGATTTGTTCGGTAAAAGAGAGAAGTTGTAATTTTGATTTCTTTGTTTTATTTTGATTTTCATTGTAAGCCGGATCTTATAAAAAGACCGGATCTCTTTGTAACACATAAAGTTGTTAACTGGGTGCAATGACATCGATAATGAAGAAAACGCCAACTTTTCCCGCGAACACTTGCTTCTTCTTCAAAGTTCATTATAAAAAATAGCCATTTCATTGCTTCAGTATATCCTTTAGTACCTGATAATCCCGAAGTAATAAGGAATCAGGCAATAATTTCAATGTCCTATTTTAGTATTAGTATTCAAGTATTTATTGAGGACTTGAGTCATTTGTGGTATTGTAAAGTTATATATCTTCCTTACCTAATTCCTTTACCTCATCTTAAGTGAGTATAGGTGCTTTTCCTTTATCTGGCAGTTTTCTCAAAGAGGAACTGACCATGCCTAGAGAGAAAATCGGCACCAATATTAGTGAATTTAGGAATTTATTTGTGACGCCTCTCGTTACACATAAGGATGTAGTCAAAGGTAAACCCAAGGATGTCAAACCTACCATGCACCCACCCAATGCAACAACACATTTTACCATCAAACCTACCATGCAACCCAAGGAGATCCCATTCTTAGTTTCACTATTCAGATTCTCGAAGTGGAGATCCCACTTTGAGTTTCTTTTGTAGCAGAAGATAGAATATAAATTTTTTTCTCGCCAGCAACAGGTTCGTCTTTGCCCCAAGAGATGACAAGTAGGAGATATAATATAAAATTCTTCCTCTCTAGTATCAAGATCCACGCTTTACACACATGGGGGACTTTATCTCGATCTCTTATTAGAGATAAGTCTACACCTAACACGGGTTGCCAGTTAGTCTTTTGCTATGAAAAGGACTAAAGCCCACGTATTCGATATTATGGCAGATCGTTATTAATAATGCCAAAATCCGTACCTTACACGCACGGGGAATTTTATCTTGAATCCTAAGTAAAGATAAATCAACATATAACACGCGTTGTCGGTTAACCTTTCTCCGTGAAAAGGACACCAGGATTCACATCTGGGGGACGTTATCTCAATCCCTGAATAGCGATAAGTCTACGTCTAATACGCGTTGTCAGTTAGTCTTTTATCATGAAAAGGACAAAAGCCCACGTATTCGACATCGTGGCAGGCCGTTATTAATAACGTTATAATCCATGCCTTGCACACATAGACGACTTTATCTTGACCCCTATGTAGAGATAAATCTACGCCTAACACGCATTGTTGGTTAGCCTTTCTCTATAAAAAGGACAATGCCCATGTATTCAATATCATAGCACCAAGTCTAAGAGAGTTCATTCTTGTAGTAAAACATCACATGTGAAATGAATTTAGATAATTCACATGCAAGCCTGATTCAAATGGTAATCGGTAAAGGCATATCCAATCCGTTGATGGCTGAGGATTTGCCAAAAATCCTAAAGTCTATGCTTAACACATGTTGCCGGGTAGTCTATTCCTGTGACAAATGACGAAGTCTACATATTCGATATCATAGCATCAAGCCTATGAGAGTTCATTCCTTTAGCATAACATCACTTGCAGAACAGACTTAAACAATCAGCATCTAGCCCAACTCAAATAGTAGGCGGTAAAGACTTATCAAATCCGTTGATAGCTGATGATTTGCCAAAAATTATAAAGTCTACGCTTAACATGCATTACCGGGTAGTCTATTCTCACGACAAATGACGAAGTCTATATATTTGATATCGTAGCATCAAGTCTAAGAGAGTTTATTCTTTTAGCACAACGTCACCTGCGGAACGGACTTAATCAATCCGCATGCTATCCCGACTCAAACGGTAGTCGGTAAAGGCTTATTAAATCCATTGATGGCTGAGAGTTTCCAAAAACCATATAAGTACGATAATCACTGACGCACCAGTTTCATCAGTTGGCCTCGTGACTTGAGCACCTGGGACAACATCAATTCTAGGCGAAGTCTCCATGAGGAACCTCTAAAGCATTCGCAATGGTATCCGTATTAGCTCTAATAGCTGGTCCTATAAGCAAAACTCCCCTATGGTTAAGTAAATAACTAGTGGGATGTAAGGGTATGATCCGTACCTGCATATGAACCGGCGTCAACGGTTGGTCCTGCAGCCTCTACACTTGGGTCTACCACGCGTTACAACACCGGTCAAGCTTAAACTGTGTTGACTCCAGTAAACATACGAAAATAAATTGTGTTAATGCTAGACGACACATTATAATAAAAATCAACGTTGATCAACGTGTTACAATGAAGGACAATGTTGGTCAACGCTATGATAAATTCGTCAAAATAAGGCTTAGGATGAAATTTTTGCATCAAAATTACTCCGAGAAGTTCAATCGTGATTCGGATATGAATTCCCGATGAATTTGATCAGTTTAACATCGATCCAACGACATGAGCTAATTCAGAAAACCAACACACCAATTCAAGTTCTAGATTTTGACAACGATCAGATGATAAACGCAGCATCGAAATTTTTTTAGCTATTTAATAAAATACTGAATAGACTAAAAGTTAAAGAAATTAAAGAATTGAAAGTTGGGCCAATCATATCCAAAGTATCCCATCATATCTGTGAGATTTAAAAATTATCTATGGGTTCTTGGACGCAGCTCGAGAAGAAGAGAAGATTATGAACGTCAAGTCAGAGAGGATTATCTAAGTCAAATGAGATCATTCCTGTGCAAAACAAAGTGAAGGAACGTACGTGAAACGTCAGAAAATGTGAAACAATGGAGCAAATACAATCAGGAGGGGTCAAAGTGGCTCGCACACGTGTGGGTCACCTCGAGGTGGCTCGCACAAAGAATTAAAATTTTGATCATGATGCGATTCGAATTTAAAACATCTCGAAAGACAAAAAGTTGTAGGTACCTTCTCCATATTTCTAATGCATCTTGAATCATATCATTCTGAGGTCAGATGAGAGAATTAAAGCCAAAATACTATGTGGGTCACCTTGTGATTATTGAATTAGATCTAATAGACAATCACAAATGGGTTATTGGTTTAATATGGGTCATGATAGTTATTGGGTTGGGCCCAATAATGGTCTTCATGATAGGATTAGGATTTGGTTTATACAAATCCAAATCAAGGTTTCATTCCTGTTATGAGATCGTACCTAACAAAACAATATATCCCAACAACTCTAGTTAAAATATTATTATATATTTGAAGATCTAGAGTTCCTATGGCCCTATGGTTCTATAAATACTGCCCTCTTCTCCTCTCGGAAGGTACATGGGATCTTGGATTAATTTCTGATCGATCTAAAATAGTAGAGAGAAGAAGTATTTTTCTTTGGTGTGGAGATCCAAGGAAGAAGAAGGAACTTCAAAGGAGACGATCGGAAGTCCCACTACTAACGTGGAGGGAAGGACACGATCATAGACGTCAAGATCCAAGGTGCAAGCTCTCTTCCTCGGCTGTTGATTTCTTAATCAACGGAGGAACCAAGGTAATCATAAATCCAATAGTGTTGAATCTTGGGTTTGCTGTGTTTTTGATATCATGTTTAGACAAGTCTATACCCCTCTAGTTGTTCTCATTGGTCCCTGGAATCTCCCGCGCAAAGCGGAAGATGGAGACCCAAAACTGGTCGACGGCCGGCTGGCCAGGCGCCCCCTTTTGGGGTCACCGCTGCGGCCGAAGGCTGCAGTCCAGTGACCTCCTAAGGGTGTTGCGGGGCTGTTATCGGATAGATCCTGGTCGGTTTGGTTTGGGTTGCATTTTATTTCCGCAATTTTGTTAAAATGCAATCCGGGAAACCATATTCCCAACAAATGGTATCAGAGCAAGGTTTGACTTAAACATGTTTATCGGTTATCGTTATTTCATGCAATTCAATAAGATTCATATGGTTGTACGCAAATCGGAAATTGAAATAGTGTTAATATCAAAACAACGATTGCCAAACCCCCCCCCATCCTTAGAGACTGGCCTCCGATTTGACACTTTTTGGGGCTCCCTGGTTGTATTGGAACATTGTTTTTTGTATTATACAATATTGTTTCAATGATTTGGTTATCATATGTTATTATTTTTTGCTGGATTGGAATAACAGGCAATGTTAGAACTGAGCTAACGTTTTGCAGGCATGATACTAGCCCTTCTCCTATGGTCTCTGCCCTTGCTAAATAAACAATGATTTTTTTTAACATGCTTGTGATGTTTGTAATTATTATTTGGACGCTGACATGATTTTCCCGGTAGTGGGCATGCAGTGGATCCCCATTTGTTTTGTATTTGATTAGATCAAATGTACACCTCCTTGCGGGGTATAGGATCAATTGTATTCATATTTTTTTGACAGCAAACTTATGGCGATCCTAGGCAAGGCGGAGCTCATCACAACTAGCAGAACCATGCAAGGAGCAAGGCAGCAACCAAGTAGTCACAAAGGATAGATCATGGGAGAAAGGGTTTAGAACCTTTTCTATGATTTTATTATTATTATTGCGTGGTTGTATTTTAGATATTAGATATTTATTTACATGCGTAGTTGTTTTATGTTTTTAAAATGATATATGCATGTTGAAAATCCAAACTATAAGATCGAGTGGGTGGGGGGTCTAAACTCAGTTACCCCACAGTCTTCCATTGTTAGGTCCTCTGCTTGGCAAGTGTGTCACTTCGAAGCCAGCCATTTAAGGTAGCAAATCCATTAGGAGTGTGACACACATGTTGTTGGCAGGAGGGGCTTCTTCGGATAGAGTCATTGAGACGCATTAGAGAGAGGGCTACCCAAGTAGCCTCTACTTGAAGTGGATGTCAATGACACTAGACAATGGCATACACTCGACCGAAATATTTATTAAGGGACCCCCAAGGGCATTAATAAAAATATCGGAGACTTGAGCTAGATCAGAAGTTATAAATTCTAGTGCATGAGATGCACATATTAGAATCTATAATGGGAACCACCCTATTGTTGTGTACAGCATTTGACCTCCCCAAGGAGGCGTGTTGGTGCATAATTATATTCTGATGCATTAATAAGTCAAGATCATTTTTTCGTGTTTTTTTTGTGTGATAAGTATAATTATTAAATGCAGTCTTTTAATTATATGTTGTTTTATGTTTTATTTTAGTATGTCTTCATCCTCGTTCAACCCGCTTTCTGCTATCTTGAACCAAAATAAATTGAATGGTCAGAACTATGTTGACTGGAAGACAAACTTAAACATTGTCCTTACTACTGAGGGGTACAAGAGTGTCTTAACCAATCCTAAACCATCAGAACCTACTCCGGACTCCTCTCAGGAGGATAAGGATAAGTTTGAAAAAAGGGTCAAGGCCAACGACATGGCCAAGTGTTACATTCTAGCATCTATGTCAAATGTACTGCAGCACCAACATCAGTATTACACTGTTGCTAGTGACATTCTGTTTAACCTTAAGGAAATGTTCGGATCGCAAGGTCGCCTAGCAAGGTAGAGGGCCATGCGGGATTTTCTTAAGGCAAAGATGGCAGAGGGAACTCCAGTGTAGAATCACCTGCTGAAGATTTTCGATCATCTGAACACTGGAGATCCTAGGGGCTGAGATTAACGGTGAATCTCAGGTAGATATGATCCTCAAGTCGCTGCCAGAGTCCTATGATCAGTTCAAGCTTGACTATGTTTTGAATCATAGAGACTACTCTATGATCAAACCCAGCCCATCTTTGCAAAACACGGAGAAGGTCTCTACTAGGTCTACGCCTAATAAGCAGAAGCAGACTGGGAAGAAGAAACCTAAGTCTCCGAAGGTTAAACAGGGACCTACTGGTGGTGGTGTGGAAAAGGTGTAAGGCAAGGCTAAAGCCAACAAGGAAGGAAAGGGAAAGTGCTTTCAATGTGGGGAAACCGGCCATTGGAAGCGGAACTATCCCAAAGTTCTAGCCAAGAAACAAACAGGTATGACTGATATTCAAGTTATTGAAGTAAGCTTTATTGCAGATACTTCTAGTAATTGGTGCTTAGATTCAGGCGCAACTCACCATATCTGTAATTTAATGCAGGGGTTTCAGGTGAGCAGGCAGCTTGAAGAAGGCGAGATCAATCAGAGTCTGGGGTCAGAGGCCAAAGTATCAGCAGTTGTAGTAGGAGTCGTTAGATTAGCTTTTCAGAACAATAATGTTTTAATTTTGAATAATGCCTTGTATGTGCCAAATATAAGGCGGAACTTGATTTCTATTCCTAGTTTAGCATTGCTTGGTTATACTTGTGTGTTTGGACAGAATGTTGTTATCAAAATTAATGGGAGTTTTATTTGTTCTGGAAATGTGTCTAATGGTTTATATTTTATTCATCCCACTGTGCTTGAAATTCAAAATTCTGAGATTGTTGATAAATCATTGACTAGAAAAAGAAAGATTCCTCCTTATAACTCTAGTAAGTTGTGGCACCTAAGGCTTGGTCACATTAATCTAAAAAGGATTAACAAACTGGTTCAGTGTGGGCTTCTACCTTCTTTTGAAGTAGAACCCATCTCAGTTTGTCAATCTTGTTTAGAGTTTAGAGGGTAAGATGACCAAAAGACCCTTCTCCTCGAAGGGTAATAGGGCACATGGATTACTACACTTAGTACACACAGATGTATGTGGTCCTATGAGTATCAAAGGTAGAGAGGGATATCGGTATTTTGTCACCTTCATTGATGACTACTCTCGATATGGTTATACTTACTTGTTGCACTATAAATCTGAGACCTTTGATTGCTTCAAAGTGTTTAAGGCTGAGGTAGAAAAACAACTAGATGGAAGTATAAAATCTCTTTGATCGGATCGAGGAGGTGAGTACCTCTCTAATGAGTTCATTGAGTACTTAGCGCAGACAGGGATTACATCCTAGCAGGCTGCACCAGGTACACCACAATAGAATGGTGTGGCAGAGAGGAGGAATAGGACTCTTTTGGAGATGGTTAGATCAATGATCAGTTATTCAGAATTACTACCTCCTTTTGGGGTTACGCCTTAGAAACTGCAACATATTTACTCAACTTAGTGCCTTCTAAATCTGTTCCTTTAACCCCACGTGAATTATGGATAGGGCGAAAGCCCAGCTTATCCCATATCAGGATCTGGGGTTGTCCAGCACATGTGCTGAAAAGAAGTCCAGATAAGTTAGAAGCTAGATCTAAGTTAGTATATTTTGTTGGGTATCCTAAGGGTACAAAGGGATATCAGTTTTATGATCCTAAAGAACACACCATAGTGATAAGTACCCATGCTGTGTTCTTAGAAGAGGGTTATATGGTAACTGAGGGATGTAGGGATTTTAAGTTGGAAGAAATATCTGAAAATATTTTGAGTGATCCAGTTCAACAAGATAGTCAACCTATTATAGAAACACCTTCATTACCTACACCGGTCTCAAGTCAGATGCCTCAGCGTAGTGGGAGATCTATCAGGGAACCAGATAGGTACATGTAACTAGGTGAAATTTTTGAGGTAGTCTCAAAAACTATGGTAGAGGATCCTACTAGATATGAAGAGGCTATTACAGATGTAGACTCTTGCTTATGGCAAACTACTATGAAAGCTGAGATGGAATCCATGTATTCCAATCAGGTCTTGGAACTTGTAGACTTGCCTCCCAATGTTCGTCCCATAGGGTGCAAGTGGATCTACAAGTGGAAAAGGAATTCAGAAGGACTTGTAGAAGCCTATAAGGCTAGACTTGTGGCTAAGGGATACTCTCAGCGAGAGGGTATTGACTATGAGGAGACTTTCTCCCCGGTTGCCATGATCAAGTCATTTCGAATTCTTTTATCCATAGCCGCACATCTCGATTATGAGATATGGCAGATGGATGTTAAGATGACATTCTTAAATGGATATCTTGACAAGGACATCTATATGGAGCAGCCAGAGGGTTTCATAGCTAAAGGTCAGAATAGCAAGGTCTGCAAGTTGCAGAAATCTATTTATTGATTGAAGCAAGCTTCACGAAGCTGGAACCACAGATTTGACTAGACTATAAAATCTTTTGGATTTGATCAAAATATGGAGGAGCCTTGTGTTTATAAGAGAGGTGAAGGTAAGTCGGTCATCTTCTTAATACTTTATGTAGATGACATGTTGCTTATTGGAAGCGACATTGGTGCACTCTCTACGGTAAAAAGTTTGGTTGGCTAGTAACTTTGATATGAAAGATTTGGGAGAAGCAAGTTACATTCTAGGCATCAAATTACATCGGGATCGACGTAATAGAATGATAGGCTTATCCCAGATATCTTACATAGATAAGATACTAGATCATTTTAGTATGGAAAATTCTAAGAAAGGTTTCTTACCTTTCAGATATGGAGTAGCCCTTTCCAAGGATCAGTGTCCTAAGACACCAGAGGAAAGAGAATACATGAGAGGGATTCCTTATGCTTCAGTAATAGGAAGTCCCATGTATGCCATGCTATGCACGTGACCCGATATCTGTTTTGCTATTGGTATGGTCAGCAGATATCAAGCAGATCCAGGTCCAGCTCACTGGACAGCCGTTAAGCACATAATCAAGTACCTGAAAAGGACTAAGGATTATATGCTGGTTTTCGGCGAAGTGGATCTAATACCGTTTGGTTATATAGATTCTGACTTCATGTTAGATAAGGATTTGATGAGATCGACATCTGGCTATGTATTCAGCCTAGGTGGTGGTGCGGTTAGCTGGATGAGTATCAAGCAGAAATGTGTGACTGATTCGACTACGGAAGTAGAATACGTGGCGGCTTCAGAGGCTTCGAAAGAAGCAGCTTGGCTGAGGAAGTTCCTCATGGAGCTGGGAGTTGTACCAGATGCAGTGAGACCCATTGTGCTCTTTTGAGACAATAGTGGAGCTATGGCAAACTCCAAGAAGCCGAGATACACCAAAGGCTTAAGACACGTAGAGAGGAAGTTTCATCTCGTCAGAGAGATTGAAGCTAGATGAGACATAGTCGTGACCAAGATCGCTTCTTCACAGAACTTAGCTGATCCATTCACTAAACCCTTACCAGCAAAGACTTTCGACATGCATATGAACAAGCTAGGTGTGAGGCGTATGAGTGATTGATTGTGAGTGCAAGTGGGAGTTTGTTGGGTTTTGTATGTGCCCTCAAACCAGTTTTTCATGCAGAGACACTTATATCTGATTTATGTTGACATATATACATGCATATTATTTGTTCTATATTCTGAGTACTATAGATAGGCTGTTTGTCCCTAGATGATTGATCTGGATTGTGTTGGGTATGGAGATACTCAAGGGAGAACATAATCCGAGATGTACAATCATCTTAGAGTATCACAGTCACTAATAGGAATAGGCTACCTGTTAGGACATGACTGTAGTATGGTTAGCACCTTAACCGGGTGGTGAATCTCTACTACGTGAGAAGGAAGTTCTCATTGCTAACATACTGTTGTATACGACAGAGCTATCGTATACAATGATGGACATAAGATTGTGTTTGACCAAAACTCTGTCAATATCAAACACGGATGATTTTATTCCCTGATGTGGATGAAATAACTCTAAATCCTGAGACATATGGTAGGACTCAAGCTTCAGACCTTGGGTGTTTTGATGTACCAATTAGTGAGGCTCATAAATGGTCAACACCTCGGTACATTGGGTAACCAGTTTCGGAGTATTGCGAACTCCTATGTCAAGATGGAATCTACCCTCAGTTGTCTGAGTATATCCCTTAAAGTCGATTGGCAGTCTGATTGCGGGAACCTGTACAGCTACTCGAGTTAGAGTAGAAGCATATCAGAGGATCTCATCGTGTATCAAGGACAAGAGGTAATTGAACAGGTTGACAGATCTTATCTCCTATTCTATTACAGATATTATGGTGGAGAGGTATATTCATCAATACACAATATCAGGTCTAGGCTTGCGTAAGCAATTCTTCTACCATCAGAGTTCAGCAAACACTGTTTAGTGGAATCAATGTTTGCTAACTAAGCTAGGTGCAGTACATTATGAGATAACAGAGACACTAGCGTCAGTTGGAGCTGATAGCAGGAGTACCTAGGTGTCCCACTTCTAGGTCAACGTTCTATCCACGACGATCGTTTTGGGAAGTTCCTCAAAATGTATTTATATGTGTAGGGTTTTGTGATTATTGGATTGGATCCAATAGACAATCACAAATGGGTTATTGGTTTAATATGGGTCATGATAGTTATTGGGTTGGTACCAATAATGGTCTTCATGATAGGATTAGGATTTGGTTTATACAAATCCAAATCAAGGTTTCATTCCTGTTATGAGATCGTACCTGACAAAACAATATATCCCAACAACTCTAGTTAAAATATTATTATATATTTGAAGATCTAGAGTTCCTATGGCCCTATGGTTCTATAAATACTACCATCTTCTCCTCTCGGAAGGTACATGGGATCTTGGATTAATTTCTAAGCGATCTAAAATAGTAGAGAGAAGAATTATTTTTCTTTGGTGTGGAGATCT